AGTCCCAGATGCTTAAGAATATAATAATAGCACCCTTTTAGCTAGAGAGAGAAGCTAAAATATTATTTGGCCATATTTGAGGCCAAGTAATGTAATTTCAAAAATGTGAAGTCGAATTTAAAATAATGACTGCATGTTAGTTATGATGTAATATATTATATGTTACTGATTTATTATAATTTTCTGATTTTAATCTAGAATTCTTTCAGAATGAGCTGTCCTCTCCAACTCACAATGCATTTAACACAATCTTTGTTGCAGGTTACTTAGTTATAGAAAATCTATCAAGTAAGTTCACAAAATACTTTTTTCTTCTTTTGAATATCAACTCCCAATCTTAATGTGTGGTTCCCTCTTTGTATGTTTGTTGGAAAAACCTCTAAGCTGGATATAAATCATAAAAGCATGACTAATTGCATGGTAACTGGAGAAATGCTCTCTCTCTCTCTGGGGTGAAGTCTGCATGTCTGTATTTTAGCTTGGGAAGTAATACGGGGATATTTAAACTCCTTGGGATTTAAAAACCATGTCATTATGAGAATGAGGTCACTGCAATATTTTATACCTTCTAAAACCTTGTAATGTATAAAATGTTTTCTGTATGACAAAGAGGTATTATGTGCATTAGAATTCAATGATAACTTTATGCCCTTACATTTACTGGAAAAACCTTATTCATGAAAATGTTAAATCCTTCACTTAAAGTCACTGAAAAAAATTGGAAGAGTTTTGTACTGTGAATACAAAGAAAATGAACTCAAAGAGAGCAAGTTAACTTCATGACAGAGTGACTTTAGAGGTCTGTTTTGCATTTGGTTTTTGAAATGTTCCTGTTCTTTTCATGTTAACAGTATAGCCAGTGACCAGGCTTAAATGAAAGAATACATTCTAACAAGACTCCATTTTATACTTTTCTTTACATGGAGGCCAATAAGCAAGAAATCCTTTCTGCAACATGTTGAAGAGCTTTGCACCAACAACAACCTAAAGTTTCAAGAAGAATTTTCGGTATGTTACCAGCAGTTGTCACAACATTGCAAGACCTCCCGTCGTTTCATGTGTCACATTTCATGTCC